TCGCTGAAAATTTCAGGGTTTTTAACACTTGGAAAGGGTGCTTCCGGATTTATGCGGACACCCTTATTGGAGGAAAAGAAAATACCCGATCTACAACGCAAAGGCACATTTTGGATAACTTGAGCACACAACTCTGTCCAAAAAAAGACCAAAATAGTTGCCCAATTTCGTTTCTTTCTCACGGGTGAAGCCAAAATGAGATTTTTGTCAATATCTTAAACAATAAGCATTAAGGGCTTATTATTGCTTTTATAATTGTATATGAATGTGAATTATTGATCATTTTAAGCTCAAATTAAGTTTGTATGACTTCGTAGCGTTCAAGGTTACCAAAATTCAATGCAATTTTAGGTTCGCTGAGCCCAAAAAAAAACAGTGTTTTGTCAATATTACATATTATTCAGACTCAGGTTACATTCTTAGAAAAGCGCTTGCGTTGAGGTATTAAAAGGACAACTGTTATTTCGATAAGGGGGACAGGGGCCCAAGTTGCGATATAAACCAGGACAATATTGAAGATTTAGATTTAAATATTGTATCCCTGTGGTAGAGATCTACTTTCTTGATATTTTGGCAATTTTAAATTGGTAATGTTGTAATGAATTGTAATTGTTGGAATATGTATATTTTGGCCGTGGCAGTTTCAAAAAGTTTTTTGTCAATTCTATAAAACGAAACATGGAAGCCTTCTGTTGCTTCATAATTTGTATAGAATATAGCTTTTCCAGTTGTTTTAAAATAAAATTTAAGTCTCTATGACCTTCAGTAGCTGAAATACAAAAATCCTATATACGCGACTAAGGGGTATTTAGAAATGTGCCTGTTACTGTAGGGTTGTCTCTAGCGATAACAATTGGGTACCTAAACACAATTTTGGGTCAGAACGCCAAAGAAGGAGCTGTGGCGTCAAAATCGGTGTACATCGAAAGTGCACATCAACTCGCTCCGTATGTATAGACTATGGATATTATACTACAGTGGTTAGTTCACACGCAACTCATTGTCCCATTGAAAGAAGATATCCTAAAAGATATCTCTAAATACCATATTACAACACCTAACCCTAACCCTAACCCTAACCCTAACCCTAACCCTAACCCTAACCCTAACCCTAACCCTAACCCTAACCCTAACCTAACCCTAACCCTAACCCTAACCCTAACCCTAACCCTAACCCTAACCCTAACCCTAACCCTAACCCTAACCCTAACCCTAACCCTAACCCTAACCCTAACCCTAACCCTAACCCTAACCCTAACCCTAACCCTAACCCTAACCCTAACCCTAACCCTAACCCTAACCCTAACCCTAACCCTAACCCTAACCCTAACCCTAACCCTAACCCTAACCCTAACCCTAACCCTAACCCTAACCCTAACCCTAACCCTAACCCTAACCCTAACCCTAACCCTAACCCTAACCCTAACCCTAACCCTAACCCTAACCCTAACCCTAACCCTAACCCTAACCCTAACCCTAACCCTAACCCTAACCCTAACCCTAACCCTAACCCTAACCCTAACCCTAACCCTAACCCTAAACCTAACCCTAACCCTAACCCTAACCCACACTAATATAAGTAACAGCAGAAGCCGTACAATTTATTTTATGTTAAAGTATAAGGTAGTACAATGAAATATCAATCAAGACAATACAGATCTTAGTAAGTAGAATCAGTGATACAAAATGGAGTGCAGGAAAAAAACTAATTATGTAAATGGTTTTTCAACATCCGCTTGAAACAGTTAGTATCAGTTATAAATATCTAAACATCAGTGAAAAAGTGTTATATGCAACCGGTGCATGGCTTGAAAAATGTCTAGACTCTAGATAATCAACTTTGGAATTTTTATTCTTTGGTATCTTGAGCATGAGATCGTCACCCGGTTTCTTCAGTCATGGTTTTCTATTTCTACTACATTAACATCCAATAAAGCTTGGAGGTATCCATGAGGTGCAGTACCGTGAACTGGGGGTCCTTTCCGAAATGAAACTTAAGTTCTTACTTAGTTTAAGTAATCGCCAAGTAAAATCATGTTTGTCCTTACCGAAACACTACTTAAGTAAAGTGCAGCGTTTCCGAAACTTTTACTTAAAGTGTTTACGAAACGCGTCAAAGTTACAAATTTACACGTGCAAGTAACAAATGCGCGCCTAAAATGCGCGCAAAAACTCTGATGACGTAATTCGTCATGCAATTGCTTGTTGGTGCGATCGATCACGTGCTTGTTGGTGTGCCATGGATTTTGTTATCATGAATATAACCATTCATGTTGAGTTGAATTTGATATCGCAATTTGAATTTGATAATCAATAAATGTTAATTTTATGAGTTTTAATATTCACTATTGAAATTCGAATCTGCACTGTGATTAAATCTGAATCTCCCTAATTTGTTTCCTCGTAGTGTTACCATGAGTGTGGCCGACTTATCGTTCCATTTCTGGATCCAAAATCAGAGGCAGAGAATAGGTTCAATAAGTCCTTGAAACGGTGTAGATGTGTTATAGAACGAACAAATGGGGTGGTCAAATCACGATGGCGATGTCTTGACAGTAAAAATACGGGTGGTTTGCAATTCAAACCAAAAATTAGTTGCGATATCATTGCTGCATGCGTTGTATTTCATAATTACTGCCGTAATAGGAGAATTCGTGATCCAGAAATTTTGCCACACATTCTTCAAGATATGAGAGAAGAGCAAGCTGAACAATCCCGGCGGGCTGCCCCTCCAAGGCAGCCGAACGAGGCGGAAGAAATCAGAAAAGGAATTAATGTACGGAATAATATTGTTAATGATTACTTTTCTTGATAAATGATAACTTTAAAATCCTTTTTAGAACCTAAACTGTGTATGATTCGCCTCTCCAAACAAATCTAAAGAAAATCCTTTTATGAACACTGAATTATTGTTCAAATTGTTCAATTCAATCAACTTGCAATGAAATTTGGGATATCAAGTAAAAACTTAGAATTCTAAGGTTGGTCCGAACCAAACTTAAAAAAATTAGCAAAAAATGAAAAATTGGAAGCAACTTAAGCAAAAAATAGGTCTTAAGTTGAAACTAAGCAAAAATCGAAGTAAAAACTTAATTCAAAAATTTTGCTTGAAAATTTGCTAACTTTGTTACTTAAGTTGGTTTTCGGAACGGATTTTAGCAAAAAAGGGAAAACTAAGCAATATTTACTACTAAGTTTCATTTCGGAAAGGACCCCCTGATTTGTGGGTTAATAGAATACTTTAAAGAAGATGTGTTGTCCTATAGAGTATAGGGAGTATGTGGGACTTCTTATAGAAGGGAACCAAGTCTGCGGTTCAGTCTTCTATGTTGTAAGGTTGTAGATGAAACGAACATAAGGGGCAATAGTTTTTAGGTTCATCATTGTCCAGCTACATCTCCTCTTCACGCTATTGATCTGTCTTTCCATTTTAAAAGTTCCATCGAATTCAACACCTCAACTCCTAATAATAATAATATTGTGATTCTTAAAGGGAACTTTGAAGATATAATGTTAGGTTTTTGTTAACAATATCACTTAATGTCAAGAGGCGCCACTCTTGACTACGTCAAAGGTGGGCACTCAGACAAAATTTGAATATTTGTAATTGTACGCCATGCACTCTTCCGTCCGACAACTACACATGAGCTCTAAAACGTTTATTGTAAGAAATGTTGAAGTTTTCTAGCGAAAATATACGCCCTCTTATAAAAATTACCTAATCCCAATGGGACGTAATTTGACAGGACGTTGCGTGAAGGGATATAATTCTGAAAAGACATTATTACGAACGCTAAAAGGCATTTCAAAATCCTTTAAAATGTTTTAATTTTTTAATTTTTGTAACTGAACGAGAAGCCGAAAAAAGTGATGCCATTATGTGATTTAGGCTTTAGCCAATACTTGCAGACGATAAGGACAGTAAATTACATTGCTATGTTGCATGGAAAAGTTATCCTTAGAAAAAATACCTGTATATTCCAAGTTCCAACAAGACGGGACTCCTCCACATTGCTCGCACGAAAGTTTGGCTTGGCTAATGAAGCATTTTGGAGAAAGACTGATCTCAAGAAAAGCAGACTTCAGCTGGCCTCCTTACAGGTCTGACCTGAAACTGACTGATTTATTTTTGTGGGGCTATCTTTAAGATCGTGTTTATTCAGATCCAGTCCCAAAAACATTAGTTCAGCAGAAAAACAATATCAGAATGGAGGCTAAAAAGTAAAAAGTTGAAACTAGACAGTTTACATGGTAAAACGTGAAAATTACAATATGCTTATTCCGAGGGTCCAAAACATTTTATTATTATTATATGCAGAAATGGGGCTTGGTTCGAAACATTGTTAAAATATTAGAGATATTTTTGATAAGTAGTAATAATTTTTCTACAATTTAAAACAAAAATTAAACCGTTTGTCTCATTTGTTAGATTTTGAGAGCCATCCAAAATTTTGACACGAGTCTTGTAACACCCTGCAGCTGCAGTCTGATAGAAGAAGTACGATTCACTAATCTCTTCTTACTCTATCAAACTATAATGGATCTAATGCTATAGTACTTTGACCTCAATGTGGCACAAATTATGATGCTTTATTATGCAAATTTTATTCTGTGATCAGTTCTAGTTAGGGCTCGAGTCAATAAAACCTAGAGATCACTAGGTCGCTGTAACCCAATGTACTGGTACAAAACGTCCTGAGGTAACGATGGTTACCCAACTAGGCACTATAGCCCATTGGTTACCTCGCACATGTTGGCATGAGGTTTACAACAATTATATTTTCAGTGAATGGGGCCATTTAATATAATTATATAATATACATTGCATTAGGACTCGAAGAGAAACACACAATGTTAGGCTTGAATCCTTCGTAAATAAACTACACTTTTAAAGCCTGTAAAACATTTTAGATAAGCACTCTATCAAGCAAAATTCATATAATCATCAAAATTCGGTGTGTCCAGTAAGAACTCTTCCTCACGGTATTTCCGACTCTGATCAAGTCGGTAAAGTGGTCCTCCTTTAGTAGCATGTACCAGTCTTGTTGGCGGTACTGTCTTCCTTTCAAGTTGTTCCTGAGACAGTTTGTGCACCTTGTAGAGTGAATATGCGTATGGTACTGAATAATATATCTATACAGTATACACTATGCACTCATTTGTCGCGTTTTTTCACATGACCTTCCTTTCTTTAATTATTTCTGTTAATGACTCCGCGACTTTGACGTCCAATAAATGTCCAATGAAGTATGAACGTAAATTGTCACTGATATCTCATATGTTGTATAGGGTTACAATAATTTCTTGGACTCATACTTTTAGTTGCCTAAGTTTTAGATTTTCTACTTTTAATAGCCTAAGTTTTACATTTTCTACTTTTAATAGCCTAAGTTTTAGATTTTCTACTTTTAGTAGCCTAAGTTTTGGAATTGTACTCGTATTCTCAATCTCAAGAAAGAATCACAGTTACTTTAACTAAAACATCCTGGAGATTTAACCAGACTGAAATTGGTCAACAATATCACCCAATATCAGAAATCACCATTTTAAATGACTACGTCAAAGGTGGGCAGTATACTGAGACATCATCCGAGATATCGACTGGTTTGGCAGATTTTATTTTTAACTTAGTTATAACAGCCACATTTGACTCAGTCACGTGTCCAGTAAAACATGGGACATATGATGGAGCGGAGAGGAAGTGACCTCAGAGTCTCAGAGCAATTTGCTACCCTGCAATACCCCCCTCACTATTTAAAGAGTCCTGCGAGAGAGAACCTCCCAAGAAAGAAATTAAAGGGTTAAGAAGCTGAAAGTAGACTTGCTGACGTAAGTTAAACCGTTTATAGCAACACGCCGGTATATAGTCAAATATAAGTCTTTAAATTTCGTAGATGCTGCCTCTGTTCGATTTTGTGACCTTTTTTAGTAAAAATTTGTGCTTATCCGAATTTTTCATTGATTGGAGCTATTAAACAAGCTTTTATTGGATTCAAATGTGCAAGGTGTCACAAAAGAGAACCAGAATAACCATTTGAGTGGGCAATTTTGGACAGAACGATTCAAAAAAGTTTTTAGGGCCCTTTTGATGGTTAGGAAGCGGGACTTAGACCGCTTCCAAAAGATAATGTGTTAGTATAACACTGTTACACAACAAACCTAAGAGAGGCACTAATATATCAGCCAATAAGTCTTCCCTTATCATCTTCGTGCACACAATGCATATGCATACTATATGATTACCTGTCCAACCAGACGTCGGACCATTGAAACCAATTTGAAGTATAATATGATGTAGTTACAATATATTAATATCTCACATGTTCGCTACAGAGCTTTGAAAGTATTAAGTTGATGCTGCACAACAGTGCTTCAGAAATACTATTCTACTTTGTCACTCTATGTTATACTTACACACATCAAACTGTGTGGTAGTAACTTTGGAATTGGTTCATGACACCCCTTGAAGCAGTAGGATATCAAAAAGTTGTGATAGAACACGATAAATTCAAAACACTCCTACCATATTTGATATGATAAATTAACCGGAACATGTTATAACACACGTACAACAGTAGAATCGTGAAGGTCAATATTTGCTTCTTTGATTGATCTCTTCTCCTTAATAATAAAATGATATTTTATCTTTTAAGAGTATCATCATTTACTCTCTATTTCTCGAATCGTGGACGCATGTTGAAAGAGAAAGCACAATTTTGTATATATCTGGTCAATGAATTATTTGCAAATAAACGTCGTTTACCATCGACTAGTTATATTTACAACTGGATTGTAAGTAGTAAGCTGCTACCGTACTATGCTTACTCGCCGTCGGATTTCTATTACTTGCTTCCAAACCTAAGAGTAAGGGCTCTGCATATCCGTGCATTCACCGTAAAGATATTGATCGGAAAAAAAAACAGTCGGTATTATGCTTTTGTACTGAATTTAATTCTGTACAAAAATACGATGAGCTGAATATTCTTGGAAACCCTGGCAATCTTCCATTTTATAAATATCAGTAAGAAAATCATTTAATTTCCAATTCAGTTATTCTATAAACACATTTGAATGGTTGATATTATAGAAGTGGTATTCTAATAGCTGTTCTTAATATGGGTACCATCAACCATGTAGTTTAATGGTTGGAACCACTAGTTCCAACTATCGGTATCAAAGAACATGGTTGATGGTACTAGAAGTATAAGCATTGGCAACGACTTATACCCATGCATCTGTATTCAAGGCAGACCTAAATTTCGGTTGTTTCCTAATTCCGAATAAGGTAGTCCCGTTTTGTCTTAATATATCATATAATTTGACGGGCAATCCAAACGTAGTTACCATAGTTACACATAGTTACACATAGTTACCATAGTTACACTACTAGTTAACATAGTTACATATTTGCAACAGCTTCACGATCCAACTTTCTCCAGAATAAGTGGGAAATAGATTTTCAACCATTGCTGTGGATGGCATTTTAAATTTATCCAGGAAATATAAATCATGAAACAAGGAAATAACTGTTAAGCTCATGGTGAAAGGAATAGTCATCTTGAAATCTGTTAAGGCATTTGTACTTATCAATAAGGATGTCATGATTGAAGTTTTAGCAAGATAAAAATAGATGGCTGGTAATGTTTCTATTGAATGATAATGCTAGACGATCACCTAAATTAATTATTTTAGTATAAAGTTCATGAGTTGGGTTGTAGAAAAAACCGTGCTGTTGACAAAGTTTACTGATTATGGAAATGATTTTTTCTTTTCACTAGTGCACTATTTATACAAAACAAATCATTTCTGATTTTGTTTACGACAGGCCACAAGTTTCAGTGCCATTCCTAGATATAATGAAAACAAATGATTGTTTAACAAGAGGTTTATCCAATGTATTAATATTTGTATTGACATTTGTGGTGACCAACTGAAAAAGAAAGAGATTACTAGAATCCTTGATCGATTGGGTTTACATGTCATAGTTCGTCATCGCAATTAAGGGTTAACGATAATTGGACAACTTCTAGATTCAGACCCGGTTATAATTCAGTTCCCAACATTAATAGATCATAGATGGCTGATGGAGTGGTAAAAGCTGACTTATTGCTTGTGACACCACTTATTGCTTGTGACACCAATTATTGCTTGTGACACCAATTATTGCTTGTGACACCACGGATCCACTCAATAACCTTACTCATTGCCATCTGGAGTTTGGCACATTTTAGTAGACTATCAAATTATCCCGATCAAATCATATTTGTACCCCTCAGTGGTTTTGATAATACCACATTTATATCAGAGCACTCTTGGGTACCATCATAAGCAAATTATATTTATAGGTACCATTTAGTCGCTGAGTCAGGGTTGGGCCTACTTTTAGGGGCCTACTTTTAGGGGCCCGAAAAATGCCCTTATCATTCCAATTTTCCATAAATAATAGCAGTAACTTTGTCTGCATTCTGATTCATCCTCTCCCTCGCGACCATTACCTATTCCAGGCACTTGTCTTTAAATGGTTGTCTTCAACATATTATATAAGGATATCACGCCCTACAGTGAATTTCTGCAGTTTATGCACATATAATCTCCCTATACATTTCTGCACCATTTTTAAGTACCAATTACCCCTCTCATGTGCCCAATTTAGTCGTGCTTTCCCAGAAGCGGTGTAATCAGCTAACTGGGTGCTGGGTTTTAGCAAATCAAATCTTATAAATAAGTTAGTGTGTGGTGACGTTGGAGGCAGTAAGCGATGGTTAAATCGTACAGCTTAAAGGATCAAGTTGCGTAAAACCCTATTGCAGGACCATATAAAGAACATCTATTGCAAGAGTTCAGCCAGGGGTACAAATTGGCGACCCTTTCCCATAAAAGGAAACAAAAACAAAGCCAAATCTGTATCGACTGCCTTAAATAAACCCACGGACCACAGGTCAGAGGTAGCCATTTCAAATATTCGTTTTCAACTTTGTTTTGACTGTTCAGCATCAGTTATTTTTGGTGAGTTGTAAATCTGTGTAGAATCAATAATTTGGATTGAGATTTGTCGACTTAATTGAGGGTAGGGCTTGGACGTCACGACTCCACTTGAGCTCATATCGCTCGATTCTCGAATTCACAGGCCACTCCTACAGCTGAAGTTAATAATGACGGCAAAATGGGTGCAATTTCTGAAGTCGTTGCACAAGAGTGGCCCTACCTAAAACTAATAAATCCCGGAGGAATAAATACGTTGTCGCACAACTTTTCTATGCAAAAATATCTTGTGTTTGCTTTATGATAAAATGTTAGTTTGTGAGACGTTTAGAGACAACAGGACGAGTGGGAAAATTAAAATGTTAGGGTCGCGAAACAGCTTTTGTGGTAAAAGTTTAATCGTTTGTTTTTGATCTACGCAGATGGTAAAGCTCAAAGGATACATTTTGACCGGTATTCACATTTCGGATGTAGACTGCAGTAGCTGCAATATGATTAGAAATACTAAGAAATGAACATGGTTGTTCTAAACGTATTGTAGTTATACTGTTACCTTTGCTGCTTCCTTGGCTCATTACTAAAATTTAAACATGTATCCAGAATAATTTATTTTTGCAATAATTATGTGGGAATAGGTTCAAATCAATCCTATTTTGGAAATTTGCAACATCTTGTCTAATAGCTCTTGTCAAACTTAGAACTGGTTCGAGCACTTCGTGGTCGCAATAATAATTAATCATGGAGTTAAAAAGTTCAGAAAACTTAGTGATCGGGCTGTAAGTATTGAAGCGACAGTACATGTTTAAAATTTAGACTGTTGGGAACTGGGAAGATTTGTACGATTACCATTTATGAGTTTAATCAAGAAACATAAGCTTTCCTAGAAAAATCTGTCGCATGATGCATTGTTATATTACTGCTCTTTCAAATTCAATGTAAATTTCACAAAGTTTGTTTGTCTTGATTGTTAAAAGTCTTTGCAAAAACAGTTGGCAAATTTCTCAAACAGATCGATCACTCAGGTTTCTGTGCCTTCTCGTTCTGCATCTCCTACACAAACTGATAATGTCCTACGGAAACTACAACACACTGCCACATGAGGAGGACCAGCAAATTCCACCAATGGAACGGAGACAGATCTTAGGAGGAGCTGACCAGTTCCCTCATGAAGTATTAATGAACTACAACCCTTACTTTACAGAACATGTTTGTTAGCATGTTTGTTAGCATGTTTGTTAGCAATTAGCTATATTAGTTAACATGTTTGTTAGCATGTTTATAAGCATGTTTGTTAGCATGTTTGTTAACATGTTTGTTAGCATGTTCACTAGCATGTTTGTTAGCATGTTTGTTAGCATGTTTATAAGCATGTTTGTTAACATGTTTGTTAGCATGTTTGTTAGCATGTTTGTTAGCATGTTTGTTAGCATGTTTGTTAGCACGTTTAATTTATTAGCATGTTTGTTAGCATGTTTGTTAGCATGTTTGTTAGCATGTTTGTTAGCATGTTTGTTAGCATGTTTGTTAGCATGTTTAATTTGTTAACATGTTTGTTAGCATGTTTGTTAGCATGTTTGTTAGCATGTTTGTTAGCATGTTTGTTAGCATGTTTGTTAGCATGTTTGTTAACATGTTTGTTAGGGCGTATTTTGATTTAAATCATTTTTTCCATCTCGAATAATAATAAATTAAGAAAATTGTATAGCTGAAATAATATCTGTCCAAAATGAGAGCGATGTGATTTATCAATAAGTTATAACAGGTGGTGGCAGTACCAAGAAGCAGTTGCCAAATGGTGAACCCTGGACCAAACAACCCTTGTTTTGTGGCTGAAAACCCAGTCCGAGACCTGACCCGGTCCCCACTCCGCAAGAAGCCGCACATACAGAAAGAAGAACACGGAGGACCGCAGGGCTGCTTCATAGGACCAGAGTTCAATTCCGTGTCTTGCAACTTCGAGGAGGAGGAGCAGCCCTCTGGTAGTTCAAGCGACCAAGGGAGAAGGAACATCACCATGGCTGATCGTAAGGATTATTACTTGATTCTTTGTCTTTCTTTGAAGTTAACGAATGTTATATCCAGCAATTTTCGCGATCGGATGTTGGTTTTAAATAGTTTCGATAAAGATTACTGTAAAAGTCGTGCTGAGTTACAATCGAGTTTTGCAATTTGTTATTATTAGATACTGTTCAACAAAATCAACATAACCCTGTTATCTATTATATCAACATAACCCTATAACATAACATAACCCTGTTTATGCTATTGGTTGCTTGACACAAATCTATCATTTCCAATCATGTTCTGATGTTACGCGGAATTTATTCTCCTATATTTTATGATCCATATGTTACAGTTTTGCTGTCCGGTGAGATCCCCTTCTCCCCCCTTGAGAGACCGAACACAGAAGCAGCTCGGATATTCTACAACGCTCCTGATACTCCCCCAATTCTCCCAATAGGTAATTAGGTGGTAACTAGGTGGTAACTAGGTGGTAACTAGGTGGTAACTAGGTAGTTACTCGGTGGTAACTAGGTGGTAACTAGGTGGTAACTAGGTGGTAACTAGGTGGTAACTAGGTGGTAACTAGGTGGTACCTAGGTGGTAACTAGGTAGTAACTAAGCTCGGATATTCTACAACTCCCCCAATTCTCCCAATAGGTTTATTTTTACTATATTTCAATCCCATCCCACTTGGATGCATTTTGCACAATAATTAAATTGTAGCTTTTAAACTAATTATTTAACTTGTAATCACAAAATAATTTGTCTAAATTTGGGGTCGAAGGTATTTAAGTTTAAGATGTTGAAAAATAAAATATCATGTCGTAGGGTATAAATATGTGGTATTTATTATAATGATATTGAATATCTGTATTGGGTGACAGTCGCGGACAGCGTTACCTCCTGCACATCAGTGATGGTTTTCTGTAAAGTTATTAACGTTACCGGGCGTAGAAGTATAATTAGCTTTCAACCTTCAGCTAAATAAGAGCAACCAATAAAAATTTTCGTACGTCATGTTTTATTCTTAGTATTATCTCGAGTTTTTTTCTATTTTAGGGGAGTATGTTAATAGTTGCCTTCCAACCTGTAAAGGGCAGGAATGTTTTTATGGGGAAACAATAACTCGATTGCCTGCCACTGCCAGTGCCATATATGCGTCACAAATTTGTAATTACGACATTTAAGGCATCAGGCATCCGTGCCCATGCATACATTAGGCATACATGGGGTATTTTACAAATCAAAATTTAAGTCGGGCAGGGCAACTCTGTAAATGTAATAAGTCACATACCGTGAAATTCTAGGAATTATGTATGTGGATTCTATTTCTGGTGGGGAATTGAGGCATTTGAACCAATCAGCTTCCACTTGGTATGAGGAACCTATGCGATAACAACCTTTATACCCGAGGGTTTCGGGATCAGAGCTTGTTAATTCACGGTTCGGATCGCATTGATCGCATGGATCGCATGGCCCAACAAGATGGTAGCCATAACACGGTAACATGGATCACGTGGTGAGTATTCGCAGCCCCTCTCACGTGACGCTATGGCAAGAAATCAAAATGCCTTCGCCTCATCGTAATCGGAATGTTTGATCTAGTCATGTGACGCGATAACAAGAACAACAAAGTCTTGCAATCGTGTTTTTCACTTGTTCGTTAATAAATAGATATTAGATATGTGTCTCTGAAAATTATATTGCTCATATATATTATATTGCGATAGTATAATACTAGTATAATACTATCGCAAATATAATTAGGTAATAAATGATATCATTGAGGTTAGTAGCCCAGCCATAATTCATTGCCCGAATGACCGTGCCCCAGGTGGTTTTGCCCGAGATGTGCCCCAGGTGTGCCTGAGATGTGCCCCAGGTGTGCCCCAGGTGGTTCTGCCCGAGGTGTGCCCGAGGTGTGCCCGAGATGTGCCCGAGATGTGCCCCGGGTGTCCCCAGGTTCTTTTCCCAAGGTTCCCCAATTACCATGCCCGAATTGTGCCCGAGATGTGCCCGAGGTGTGCTTTGTGGTTCTGCCCGAGGTGTGCCCGAGGTGTGCTTTGTGCCCCAGGTGTGCCCCAGGTGTGCCCCAGGTGTGCCCGAGTTTGTGCCCCAGGTGTGCCCGAGGTGTGCCCCAGATGTGCATCGGCAGATTACCGAGTTACCACCAACAAATATAAATACTAATAGCAACACATAACAGATCCGTACACATGGAGCGTAGCAGAGGTGATGCTTTGGCTACGATGGTGCTCCAGGAAGTACGAGATACCAAACATAGATCCGCACATGTTTGGGTTCAACGGCAAGGCTATCTGCGTGATGACCAAGGCAATGTTCGAGTACAGAGTGCCGCAGGGGAGAGGGGCCCTAATCTTATACACGGTAACTAGGTGGTAACTAGGTGGTAACTAGGTGGTAACTAGGTGGTAACTAGGTGGTAACTAGGTGGTAACTATCTGCTTGATGACCAAGGCAATGTTCGAGTAGAGTACCGCAGGGAAGAGGGGCCCTAATCTTATACACGGTACCTTGCAATATTAGCTTTAAATATTGATATAAAACCCAGATATTATAAATCTTAGCGTGTTTAGAATAATGCCACATCAGTGTAATTGTATGGTCATGATTACATTTAAGATCGTATCCACGAATTTACTCTATAAAATTTAGATTGAAAATAGTCAGAAGTATTATTGTCATACTAATAGTCATAAGTAATGTTCAATGTTGTCTCAGGAGATAAAGAACAGGAAGAAGCACGCAGCAGTACAGAAGCAGGCAAACGAGCTCAGGCACCGGAGACGAGAGGAACGACAGAGACATCATGAGGAGCACCAGCCGTCCGGGTAGTGAGGAGGACATATTACGTGACATGAACAGTTCATTCGTTAGTTATGTCGAAAATGAGACACCGTTCTCTCAGAAACAGAACTTCATAAGATTTATATTCAACAGAAAACAACCGAATATATCCAGATGTAAATCCAAACTCCGAAACCATCTTCAAAATGTTGTTAATTTTTGGTTTGCTTTTCTTCAGTATTCACTATCATCAGCGCACCAAAAGTCAACCTTAGACAGGACCCTATGGGTCCTGTCTAAGGTTGACTTTTGGTGCGCTTTTATGACTATGCTTTTCGATCAACATGAAACGTTCGCGTCAACTCATAAAACAAAATCAAGTTTTTGGCTTGGCTTGAACTTGAGGTCCAGTAAAATTTAATTTCCGATCGTTTCCTATACTTAGTGTTATCCCGGCCAAATGCCCAGGTTAAAAAACATTGCTGATTACGTATTAATACAAAATGAGATGTGAACACATCTTCCAATTGTAAAATGGTGCCCCATTAGTTAAGGTTTTCCTGGTACAATCATGCTTCATTAAAATTTTCAAAAGTTCATTTTGATGGAATGAAACTCGTTCAAAGAATGGCTATATTTATTATTATTTTTGCTTGCTTAAGAATTATGTTAAAATTATGTTATTTTATATTGCTACTGCCATGTACTTTGATGTCTTTTAACAAAACATGTATTCACTTTTATATATATTTCAAATACTTAATCGAATCCACTACAGACCAAAACAGACCAACCAGTAACCGGACAGCTGATCAATTATACAGACTGTAAGTATCGTGATTCACTCCCTAGTGATCAGCTAACATATCTGCATTGGCTTCATGGCGGGTGGCGTTATGTTGTTATAAACCCCTCCGGGATAGAATAAGATTCTGATAATCCCGGCTCCCGCTAAATAGATTTTGATAATCCCGGCTCCCGCTGTTAGTTTTTTCCCGCTGAATGAATAACCCCGGCATAGTTTCTATAATCCCGCCCCGCTAATTTGGCTCAACAAGATTTGTTTTGTTTTGATATTCCATGAGAATTTCAACCGCGCACTGTCACGTGTTTTGATGACGTGTATCACGTGACTAACTACTACGACGCGCATTGGTAAAAAATGTCACGTGACCTATGGCTTAACGTAAGAACTATAAATACACTTGATCTACGTATCGGTCTAATTGCAGGCGCTGGCAAAACTCCAGCACACTGCTTACATTACTTAAACTCTTACATTAATTGGACCAGTTCCAGAACTTGTCTCGACGGTTACATTTGATTTTGTCCGGTTAATTTTGTCGTGTTTGATATAAGCCATGTATTATAGTCGTCTACTTTGATGAACTTCATGACACGATATCATTATTAGCTCCACCTTTTATCGCTTGCCAGGCTTAACTCGACGCCCCTTATCGATATTCATTCAACGTTCTGACTGAGGAATAATGTTTAGATATAACGCCAATTTCAAATGTCATAGTACCTTAGTTGTACTTGTATTACTATTTATTTGGTAGTCCCCAATTCCATTTCATATTTTCCATACTGATCTCATATAGCTAGAATTAAGAGTAAAATGTCAAATTTGTTGGTCCTAGCACTAACCCGGAGGGGTTTATAACACATAACACCGGCACGCTTAAGTTATATTAAAATAACCCCTCGTGCTAAAGCACGTCGGGGTTATTTTCATAATAATCCCTCGTGCTTCGCACTCGAAATTATTATAAATTTTTCCCGCGCGTCGCGGGAAAAATTGAAATATAATCCCTGCGCATGCCGGGGTTATGTGTGTTATGATCTTTTGCAGCAGTAACAGTTTTAATTCACCCAGCTGTCAGCGTAGCACGGTGAATTCTATAATTTGCTTCTTATTATAAATAAAACTGCTCTAGCAACGATGGCCAGTGGACTATAAGCAACAGTTGCGCCCCTTTGGATCCAGTTCCTACACATTAACAATCACTAATCCTTGACGTGATTTTAATTCATGTTCTAGATTCTGAAACCGACAGATTGCGCCCCAGGATCACTTAATATCATCTGACCTTGTTGAGGGATGTGATATCGAGTGCAGATAAGGTGCATACAACCTTCCACTAAGACGCTTGTTATCTGGCCGCAAAAATTATAAATGTGAGCAGTGAAAGGAAATTATTATTTGTTATCAGCAAGCTCCTGACCGTCACACGTGGTTCCCTCCTCGACACAGACGGATTTACTTACACCTTCATTTTGACTGTTTTGAAGAATTCATTGAGTGATACATATGAATGTGGTATTACTATTACAATGTTAGATTTGAGCGTGCTTCCATAAAAGCTTTTACGCTGGTGTTTGATCAGTTCTCACTCATGAACTAGAACCGTTTCCCCGGCCATCTGTGCCAAAGTGTTCAGCGTCGTACTCGTATAACTTGTAACTTTATATGTCATATGACTCTAAATCTATATGATTTGAAGCTCGCAAAATACAGGATAGTGACGTAATTACGACGTCACAAAATCTAACATCATGTAAGGACCTGTCTAGGGTGACTGCAGCTGACAAGTGCCTACTTTTAGACTTTATATGTAGCTTATGCTACTGAAGTTGTCCTTATTAGCATACTACACGTCACATTAGCTAGCACCCTATAAAGTGTGTTGCTATAATACCAGTTTCTAAATCAAAATATACTAAACATACTAAACTCCTATTTAAGATATTCCTTATTTTAGAAAAAAAAAAACGTTTTTGGGGAAGCAATTATAAACAGCTGTCAATCAAATAAAACCCGCGACACACGTCAAAAATCTGTAATTAATATTGAAAGATAGCAGACGCGACAAGCGTCAGTCATCATGATTACATAAGCATGCGTATGGGGCATTTTTAAATTAAAAATTTAGCGGGGCAACCATATAATGTGTCATCTTACGTGAAATTCTGATTAAACTCGCTGGTTGTGAAATTGCACTGCACTGTATACTAAATTTAATCGACTGCATCAAACAAAATAACCAACAAAAGAAAATTACAGACCCACAAACCTTTTCTTTCTTTCAAAACCATGTAAAATGTTGTATTTCATTGCTAGTGCTACTCTGCCGTTCCCTGAGAAAACGCATTAAGTCCATTTTTTCGAAATTTTGAGATATTGGTACCAGAATTTTCAAGATAAGATTATCTATAACTGCTAATGACAATGCTATGTTATTTGATTTCTTCAAACAAAATGTTTTAGAATTTGGTTTCATTTTGTTCTCTAATCTAAGTAATCTTGCTCCTTATACTTGTATACATGTTATAATGTACCGTAAAGTCACTGTATGTATAATTTGTGTGTCCGCATACAACTTTAAGTTTAACAGGTAGCGAAATAAATGAAGGGTTCATACAACTCTATGGCATACGGAGGGCGCGAAATGGAGTCTTCAGCTTCAAGGCCCAGCCGGGTGGTTTGAATTATTATTTTTATGACGGATATACGGTTAGTAATTGTAATGATAATATTACTGTTATGTGTTATATTGACTAGGAGGTTATAACTTCGCGGGTGGTGGACTTCAAGAGCACTATAACAGTGCAGTTCTAATTGCTTACTTAACTTTGTCAGCGTAGCACGGTAGACAACTATTGAATAAATGGTGCAATGTGTGAAAGTGGTGCCGAATATTTATTCTCGCCATAATCGATACTCCTTATATGGGCATCACGTGGGGAATGATCTAACCAGCCCAGTCTACGAGTCGAGCCTTACTTATTATATTGTCAGTAAATTTTGAATACACAATTATGGGATGTCTTCTTTGTCGGTGTTTGCTTTGTTGTGGCATCAAAATCGTTGCAAAGTACTAATAGTAGAGGCTGTTACGGGCAAATATCACGCTTTTTTGCTCGAGACCTGGGACTTCTTTCTTATATGATAGAATGGAGTGTACTGAACACTCTGACGGTATCGGGAACCTTCTAGAGCCTCCAGAAGCTGTGTTGTGAGCACTTTACTGCCAAAACTTCGGACATCTACAGACACCGGAATATCGACTAAAAATTTTTTCTGAGTTGTTCCCCTAATTTCTCTTAGGTTGCTTAAGCCCTAGAAAGTGTCAGATCGTCTAAATATTGCTCCATTCCGGTGTTAGAGACCTCGAAAATTTCGACCTCGTAGAACGTGTTGCGCGTCGTATATAGTGTTTACAATGGAAAAAGTGCACTTAAATCTGATTCGGTTGCGGCGCGTGACGTATCTAGCACGATATTTGCTTGAAAGCGCATCACTGCGCCAGAAACCTCGTGGTACCGTAACACTGTAGAAATAGATAATCACAAGAGACACAATAAACGTATCATCACTATGCAAAGTTAATGTTAAAATGATACAATAGCCCTGCTTTAACAGATTAATCCACATAAACACTATATTTCTACAGTCCGATCAGTAAATCGAACATGTTTTTGAAGATAAATCTTCTGATAGAATTCGTTTCTACATTGAAAGATTTCTTTTCTAATCTCCTTTAAGAGTGCTGCCTTTGTTAAAGTGTTATCATCTCTATCCGCATCTATTGTTGCGGCAAGATTAGATACGATCCTGCTGTCGAAACAAACTCGTCTTACCGATATTGTCTTTCTGAAAACTGATGTGATCAGATTAAACATTGCTGGAGTTTGCAGCGTTCTCAGATAAATTAGACGTCACATAGTCATTGTACTTAAGCTTCAGGTCAGACACGAGGTACAGTTCTGGTAAAACATTCTCCTGCTCCAGTTAAAAGGTCCGTATCAATACCTGCACTCATTAATGCAGCATTGGTGTTGGCGTGCGTGGACACGTGTCTTTCCATTTTAAAACCTGCCTTAGAGACAGGTTTTAAACTTACAGCTTCAGATAATTTACCCTTCAATTGTTTCACCCTCGAGTTGCTGTACCTCAAACGACATGTTTTGTGATATCTACCTAGCTTGCTATAGAGATATTTTCCGAGACTCTCAGGGTTAAGAACAGGGCACTTGTTCATGTGCGAATCAGGATTAACATCGATGTTGCACAGATCCTGACGATTTCTGTAGATGTCCACAGATAGTATGTTGCGAAATCGACGAAGAAACTATTATCTTTTCCTTGAATCAGACTATCCTTTTTCGTTTCTAACGTCTAGGGAAATTCGTATTGTTAAAGAAGAATAACCTCTCATACTCTTAAAATTAAATCGAGATAATATGTATAATAATTATATTTGCGAGCAAAAGTTTCACACAAACCTGTTCAACCTGGCATATGAAACACAAGTCTCAGTCCATTTCAAACAAATCAACATCTGGTCCACTTGATTTGGAACTAAATGAAGAAAGTCTCCACATTTTCTTAGTTCTATTCGAGGAGGGTGACAAAGGCGGGACTTTTTCCACTTGGATGGCAATAGCTTCTTCAATCTTCATCACAAGAGGATTCGTCAATTTCAGAAACAGCACTGTACACCTGCAAATACTTTATTACTTCCCACATTTATATCAACAGTATCATATCACATAAGTTTGAGATCGTACAAGTGTTATATCATTTTAAAAGTTTGCAAATCCGATAGAAATGGATTAAAAATTACTACTCGCTGTCTATTTACCTTTGAATAATAATGTTTTTCAGGAGGTGACCGGGACATGATTTCAGGCCTGACCGGGACCGGGATACAAAATGTGACTTGACCGGGACCGGGACCGGGATAGCTCAAAATTGAGATTATCAATTTACCGGGACCGGGACCGGGATGAAAAATGTGACTTGACCAGGACCGGGACCGGGATAGCTCAAAATTGCCAATCCCGGTACCGGGATTCCCGGTACCGGGAATTTCGGTCGATTACTGGTTAATTCATGATCATAATTTATTACTCAAACTTGTTAAGCAATTTTAAACATTGTTGTATTTGGCTCAGAGGATGTTTAAAGATGAAATTCACAATGAATGAAAGGAAAAACTTAAAATCACAGTGAATGAAATTATGTAAAAGATCCCGGTCAAAATCCCGGCAAATTTGAGTGATTGACCGGGACCAGGACCGGGACCGGGACCAAGAATCCCGAATTAACCGGGACCGGGACTGGGACCGGGATCATAAATAAATAAATCAGCATTTGACCGGGACCGGGACCGGGATAGCTCAAAATTGCCAATCCCGGTACCGGGAATCCCGGTCACCTCCTGATGTTTTTAAATGTTAGTAAAACAGGAGGAAACCACTCACCCTGTTATAGTTGTCTTTTACATAGTTAAGACACTGAATACACACAAAAAGAGGTTTGCTTTGGTGAGCACAACCCAGGATTGATCTTCTGCAGCAGGGCGAGGAATTCTCTAGACTGTTTTGTAATTCGTTCACTTTCAGAGCGGAAGAAAACTGTGTCATTAAAATCCTTTATGTCTATTCGGGTACAGATACAGCACTCTGAAAATTGATGAATGGTCACATTTTTGTATACCCTACGGCAAAGTCTTATGTATGTGGTAAAAGAATGATATTCTTTAAATATATAATAACATCTATAAACAAAAGAGCACCCAAAGAGGCTCAGCAAAGTGCTGGCCTATTTACGCTTACGAAGACTCATTCGTTCAATATGTCTCAAAGTAAATAAACTCCTCCATCCTACTCTATCTCTTGCTATGTTCACTAAGTTGGTAAAATCATCTTCATTTTTCAAATTAATTTGTCTCTTAAATAGGTCATTTTTCACAATAATATCATAGAAATTAGTCCTGTGTCTACCCACTCGTCCCTTTAGTGTTTGACATCCTAGTGAAGCAAATAACAGAGACTGGTAGGCAGGCGTGTCGTTGTCACTGCGTAGAACATGACCTAGCATTGTCCACCGTGCCTTTTCCACTCTCTCGGAAAGGGGCCTGGTCTGGGTACGAGCGTAGAGGGCCTTGTTAGATATTGAGCTAGGCCAATAGATGTGTAGGATGCGCTTGAGGTGCTTCCTCTGAACAACATCTACAGACTCTAGAACATGCTGAGGTACGGCCCAGCAGCAGCAGTTGTACAGGAGCACTGATACTACTAGTGAGTCGTAGAGTTTGATCTTTCTCTTCTCAGTTATCTGACTCCTCTCTGATCCCTGGCACCACAGCTTGTCAAATGACCAGAGGGCGGTGTTAGCTTTATTCATTCTATTAGTAACATCCTGCTCTGATCCAAGCTTAGTACCAAGAAGCGTCTCGTTTCTCACTCCTCTTTTCCTCTTAGTTCATTATCCCACTCGTCACATGCGCCAACTTCTTCTAAATACACTCTGGTAAACTTTGTCTGGGTTGTCTTTGTGTCGTCTCTGGAGCATCCTGCAGCTTCTAGTAGTCTGATTGTTGTACCTCTGCGGATGGTATTGAAGGCAGCTGACATGTCAATACTCACTTTGTTCCATTCAAACTCCTTCTTCATTACTACAGATATGAGCATGCTCTGTGCCCAAACTAGGTCGGCACAGCTCCTGCCAGCTTTGTAGGCAGCTTGGAACGGTCCGGTGAAGTTTTTTATTAAAGCCTAAACTTAACTTCTACCAATTCAAAATTGTTTACGTCGGTCTCCCCTCCTTGAGCCACTTTTCACATAGCTATTGAATATAAATCACTCTAGCACAAGCGATTTCAAACCCCCTCCCCTAGGCTGGATTAGGTTATTATATGTGAACTGTGCTCTAGTGCATGACTGACTTTACATAATGCAGAGCATGCAAAGTTTTGATGTTTCATAAACTTATGAATAAAGTTTTAAAATCGTGACATAAAAAGCAGTGGTCGCCCGGTGCCCCCTGGCCAAAATCACAACCCCCAGCCAAAAATTGGCAATTCTCCGGGGGTAAACACTGGCCCCGGCCAATTCTCAGTGGTCAGCCCCGGCCCCGGCTATATTGGGGCTCCCTGGCCCCGGTCAGAATCCTGCCCCCGGTCGACCACTGATACAAAAGCGAGAGATTTGTCCAAAAGCGAGAGAAAGTACTGAGAAAGCACTTATACGTCACCACCAGAGGGCCTAGAGAGGTTATCTTTGTCTGTTTAATTGAATATTGAGTATATAATATTAGATTTAAGATGAACATGATAGATATAACGTCCAAATTCTAAAGTTCCACCAAAATTGAGTCACATTAAACTTGGTTATACAACAATTTTAGTTCTTCATTATGGTAGGTGATTTGACATAATGAAGTGTAGACTAAATTATTATTCATAATAATTACCTGTCGGAGGGATTTAAGTGTTCCTTTGAACAGTCCTTTTCTGGAAGGTTGAGAGCTTTCCATACATCCAGAGAGCCAAATTGGATTTGTCCTTCTTTCGGGCATATGCAATCTTTGATATGATGCCTTGTACATTGTGAAATCCTGCAGTTATCATTATTCAATCTTACTATATATAAAGCGAGACGATATATATATATTTATTTATCCGTGCCATTTTACTGACACCACGGCATCAACTTTAACGCGAATTTCCGCAAAAACCGTAAAAGATATACAACTGAAACTTTTTTGACTGGGTCAAATGCTTTAATGGCCTTCAAATCAGCATGAAAAAATTAAAAATTGGCCAAGGAATAAGAATTTTAGTGCCCAAAATTTGGACTCCCAAGTGGTGTCAAAAACGCGAATTAAATAGGTAATAATTATTTTATTCTCTCGAGCCTTGACACCACTTTAGGGTAGACGGGTTCCTGCTAGTACTTATAGAGCCTTAGATAAGGGGTTAGGGGTCGTTCACATAATATTGTGTAATTGCAATATAGTAAGGTTACTGTACATTTCCAACCCTTTGTCATGTATATCACAACAGATGATGTTAAAAGCATAATAATATTATGATACAGTTTTACAGTTTTTTTTTACGTGTTGATAATCTAGCTCATATCTCTATTTTATCGCTACATTACAACTGCCATTTTGCTGGTACTGTGTTTTTACTTTATACAAGTACAAGTAATCGATGGAGGAAATGGATACTCTTCAAAGATTGTCAGTTTATTCTACCTAGCTACATTACTGAAGAGTATGAGGTCTATAACGGTTGCTACGAACTGTGACAATAAATCTGAGTTTTCAGTTGAAACGTTCAAAAAGCCAGTGAAGTCAGTTTCAGTAAAACATTTATAATTTGTATTCTGCGTATCAGACTACCGATAATCATGTAAGTACGTTTCTGGATAACAAGAAAGATATGGAGGAGTTGAAGAGCGATCTTATCCGATCGCAAAGTACTGTTATCAAGCTGCAGGCTGAACTTCTGGAAACTAAATCGAAGCAGTTGGAATCCATGCACTCCACCGTCAAGACCGCCGTTCAAGACACTGTCCAAGCTGAGATGAAGTCATACAGTCAAGCTGTGACTAAAAATGCACCTGTGCTTGCAGAAGAGAATTTAAAAAAGGTTGTACAGAATGGTGTATCGGAAGAGGATCGCAGTAGGAATGTGCTCATCTTTGGTTTGAAGGAGACTGATGAAGAGGAACTGTGCAATAAAGTTACCGTGATTTTTCAGCAGATTGAAGAAAAACCACGTTTTGAAGCTATCTGGGTTGGGAGAAAATCAGCCAACAAGACTAGACCAGTCAAAGTTTCGCTAGATAATACTAACTTACCGTTCATCAGATATTAGTAAATGCCAAAAAGCTGAGACTGTGTGAAGATCATAAGACTGTTTTCATCTTTCCAGATCGATCACCTGAAGATCGAGTTATCCATCAGCGGTTGGTCTTGGAAATGAAACAGATAGCCAAAGCAGGCATGGCTCCACCGTGTAGGTTCGGGTGGGTGCGCACCCACCCAAAGGGTGTTGCACCCACCCAAACGATTTGAAAATGTTCACACAAAAATTGTCAAATTTTGTATAAACTAAGGGTCAATTGACTTCTGTAATCAATTGAGACTGTTTTGGAGATATTAAAATATGTTTAGGAGAGTAAAATTCCAAAATTTTTCAGGGGGCTTCACCCCCCCCCCCCCCCCCCCCCCCCACCGTGCGCCAAGCTGCACCCACCCAAATATTTTGAGCTGGAGCCATGCCTGAGCCAAAGAAGACACAAAAAAACATAATTATATCAGAAGTGGTAATATTTGTAGTGAGGACAAGATGTTAGAGAGTGATACATAATAATGAGTGATATACGTCCATAAGTTCTTAATTTTGATTGTTGATATAAGCGTGATAAAAATAATTTATTTCATTTGTATTGGACGGGACATACACAAAGATGCTACGTATGGTGCTGGGTATCTCATGGAAGGACAAGGTGAGCAATATAACTTTGTATGGTAGTCTACCAAGGCTGTCAAACAAGTTACGAAGCAGGAGACTAAAAATGGAAGGACACTGCATCAGACATCCTGAGCTACTTGCCAGTGATTTAGTCTTATGGAAACCTATGCATGGTAAAGCACAGCAAGGCCGACCAAGACAAAGCTACTTGTCTGTGTTACTGAAGGAAATTGGGACAAACTCAAAAGAGGAACTGTGAACTCTGATGAGGGACAGGGATATATGGAGGGGGTTATCTGGCGTAGATCAGACTTAGTTCCGACAAAGTAGTAGTATTTCATTTCATTCCATTAATAACCTGCATAGTTGAAAAGTTGATTGATGTAGTTTCGATAAACAGGGCGTCGTTCAACTCCACTCATTTCGTTTCAAGCTGGAATGTAGTATTGTTTAGTGTATGTTTGTTCATGTACCTCTCATCATCAAAAGGTTTCAACTTATACAGCATCGATAACATCATCTAACAAAGCTTTTTGAACAGCTTAAGATTCAGTTAAAATTACATAATTCAGATACATTTTGTGAAATGATACATTGTCAGCCTGTATTTAATTAATTATAATAATTATGGTAATTTAGCTAAAAATCAAACCATTTTAGTTTTCATTGTTATCAAAATAATGCCGATCTAAATTCGTCTTAATCTGCAAGCTTCTTTCATCAAGAAGATTCTTGAAGTGATTTGCATGTACACAGAGTCTTAGCTGTCTTAGCTAGTTCTGGGTCCATAAACATGTCACCTTCTTTCTAATGGTGATTGTCAAGTTTGTTCAGCAACATAATTCAGAATTGCAGAAATTATTTGAATCTACTAGAGATGAAATGGCTTAAATAACAAGCAATAGATGTAACTAAACAATACATATTGTAGTTTGACTACTTCTTTGAAACAATCAAAGAATGGGGGAGCTAAGGGAATGATTGCTCAAAACGAATGTTATCTTCATGAATTCAATGCAGCATCTATACATTTATTCCAAATTAGTGATGGATGAGGGGGTTTAAG